GAGCCAGGCGGCGGCCGTTCCAGGGTGTGCCTGGTGCGGGAGCGGCGCGGCGACATGGGCTACGCCCAGGTGCTGAGCGAGCAGGAGGAGCGCGACAGACGCGAGGAGAGTCAGGAGCCGGAGGACAACACCGACGACGCCACATATTCCAGCACTGAGCCGGACAGCCCGACCCTCCCCACGCTGAAGCCGGCGTGCAACTCGCACTGGAGCGTTGTATGGTATCTGCCGCAAAGCGAAGACAGGCGCGGTCCCAGTGGCCACGTAGTGGTCCATTTTGCAGGACGCGGGGCGGCGGAAAGCGTCACAGATGTCTGAAGGGATACGCTTACGCCGTACGGCAGTGCCTGCGCCTGCCGTGGTCTGTTTCACTGTCGCGTGCCTTGTCACAGCGCTGGCAGTGCAGCGTAGCAGCTCTCTGTGGGACATGCCGCTGCCCTCAGGGATTGTCCATGATAGCGAATGTAACGCGCGCATAATTAAAAGCACCTCGTTCGCAGCTGATCACGAGGCTGGCCTTTTCATGGTGTGGTATGCTGTGTGTCATTCGTTTATGTAGACATATCTATATTGCCTAATTTTTAAGATCGCATTTTTACACGGCTGTCGGTAGTTTGTAACTATGTGCTTATGAATTAGTGGAGGACTCCATACAGTAATGGATTTGTCCGTATGAATGGTTCTGTTTGTAGTGCTGTTTTTCAGCGCCACTTCCTTTTACGGTTGGCCTCACCCAGATGTCGGGGTGCCCATGAGCTGCGTCCATGAGGTGCCCTGCCGCAAGACTTTCTACCAATTGTGCTTCAATCCCCACCCCATTGTGGGCGTGGGGGCTGCGACTTATCGCCAAAGATCAAAGAACGGTGGCGGTCGGACCTGCAAGAGGACACGAGTCAACGGGCGAGACTCGGCTAGTCTCGGTGTGAAGGATCACACTTGTATTCCCGAAGCGCTCGGTAATTTTAGTCTACCGCAAATATTTTTACCAGGTGCTTTGTGGTGCGGCCTTTCAAGTATGGGCTCCATTGCGATGTAAACGAGGCGACGCGACGAGATTCGGGTGGCCTGACCCGATGAACGCACTACGCACAGACAAAGTGCCGTTGGCTCACAAGTGCTGATTTTATTGTGTTGAAGGGAGGTTTGAACGAGTGTTTTGCAGGGATGTCTTTCGGGCTAAGTCTGTTCTTCTGCGACCAATTGACCGGAGGATAACACGGCACATCCCTTAAAATGGCAAGAGCTCGTTGGTGGGGTAATTATATGGCCAAAACAGCATTCTGTGAGTTTTAGAGGCGTGCGGCTTACCGATAAGGAACTAGGAGATAAAAATACGCGATGGCGTCTCAAACCCTATTTGAAGTTGCGCTTACGAAAACAGTTTGCGTGCTATAAAGTTTGTGAGAAGTTCAATCAGATGGCAAAGTGCCTCTGTGATGGATTGTGTCAGTATTACATTCGAGGTCAGTTAGATGCATACAGTGACCTTGTTTGACCTTTCACCTAATTTTGCTTAAAAATGTAAGCCTTCAATTTCTCTGAAACCGGTATGCACTTGGAGACCAATATATCTTCGTTCAGAGTAAGACAGGAATCGACAAGATCTTGTCCAGACATGTCGCATATCGAACTCGAACATTGGCGGTCTCGCACGGCCACACGCCATGAGCGGCCGGTCGGTGGGGTGACCGGCGCGGTGGGCTTACCCCGCCGAAAGCTGGGACTGTGACCTTAAGATCACTTATTACTATCTAATGCCAGTCACTTAGGCATTCTTCCGGAATTCTAAAACATTGAATGGCAGATGTGTGTTATCGACCTACGTGCCTGTCGCCATTCACGAATCGGGTAGACGGCAACGCCTCGCGCTTGTAGCCCTCACAGCGCATCGATAACCATGATTTAAACCTGACGCGGAGCTCGACATGCGAGGAAACAAACAGATGGTCTTAGGTTATATTGTTTTGTCCAGTGAGGCCCTGACCGGAGCAAAGTCGCCTCGTGTCCTGGCCCAGCACGCCTGTAAACGCGCGCATGAAATACGGATTACTGGGCAAAAGCGTAGTCATCCGCTGTTCCTGTCGATGTGATCACACCAACGAGTTTGTAGAAACCACACTACGGCTACGAGCTCCGGATCAACGGCAGGATCAAGCTCAGCAACGGAAGAGCGAGACCGGAACGCGACATTACAATCTCGCGATTCATGACTGATTCATAATTCTCGTCAAGATTTTGAGGTGCACTTTGTAACAATTGCACGCAATAATTTCTGCAGCTGGAGAAATTTCTGTCCGTTGATGTTAGAACACTCATTTCTCCGTCCATGCTCATGTTCAAAATATATCTTGTGAAACAATATATTGTATAACACATATTGTAAAACTATACATGATATATTTGCTTTGCAAATGCGAATGCATTATGACCGACAATAATATGTCAGTCACTTGCCTACTTTTTCATCGCATTATTCGACCCCTGGCCCTTACCGCGCCCAGGTGTGTATCCAGAGGCTTGGCAGGAGAGGGAAACAGGGTTGGCAAAGTGCCCCTTTGTAGTAAAAGACCAAAAAAGCTGTTGGATATGGTCAATTGTTAATGGAGGCACGTTCTTCTTCATATTTTTCATGTCTACCTCTATCTCTGGAACAGGAGCCAGAAGCTACCGCAAGCAATCCGCCTGGATTTTATAGTCAATCAATGTTTATCAAATCAATATAATCACAATTAAGGCTCAAAATACGGCGAAAAGAAATCACCCGTTAAACGACTGCATGAAATAAATCAACGGTGATCATAACATTGGCTTAATGGACTTTCTGGAGCGGAGAGAACTCAGGAGATTTGCCACTTTTTTCTGGGCTGTACAGCGACATTAAAGTCCGTGGGGATAGGAATGGGTCGACAATTTGTTTTAACATGGCCAAGTCATGTTTGTCTGGAAGTGTTCCACACTCAGCCAGAACTGATTGGTGATAAAATAATGTAACGTAGTTCTGAGCATTCGCGTTCCGCAAATCTCACAAAAATTCGATACAGGCGTTGCAGTCTTCATAGGCCCCGCAGCGTCGGCTCTGTGGGTAACACTAAGTCGTGGCCAGCGGGTGGACAAAGATGGTAACGCGTATGAAGTAAGCACCTTTCAAAAATTTTAGGATATCAACGGTACCTTTTAAATGTGGTCGGGCGTGTAGTTCACCTGTGCTACTTTTAGAAAGTTTAGATCTAATATTAGATCTAAATCTACTTTTAGAAAGTAGATTGATGAATTGAACGGATTGGCCCTTACAGCTCCATGAAGTGGTGCTGGAATCTGGTGGTAGAGATGGAGGAGTGAAGGTCGAATCTCTAGCTTTGTGTTGCTGTATCTGTTGATTTTTCCAGAAAATAATCTCCACGTGTGAAAAAGATGTGCCCAGCTTAATCTTTAAAAGGTGCACATCAATTTTTAAGACTTTCGGAAGGCCGCCTGGTGCAGTGGCCAAGGTCGTTCGGTTTTACTTAAACTGCAACCCAGGCCATCGCTCTCTTGCCTTTGAGATTGCGGGCTCGTAGGCTCAAACCTTTTGACAAATTGTGTCACTAGTCGATTCTGCAAAAGAAACGACGCTCTCAGGCAACCATAAATTTGCTTCATTAATTTTAACTCATTTCAACCCACTGTATTCAAGTCATAAGATCCCTTATTTTTTCCGGGAAAGGTGCCCCCTTGAACAGAGCACCAGGAGGCACATTATTGTTCGGGCAAGGGGTGAAGAGCCATTCCGGGCTGTCATTCTGGCGACATAGGGTGGGATCCCCCAGCCGTTTTGGAGGCCTTCCAGACGTGAGAGACCTTCTGGTCCGCGCAGACCGCAGTTGACCCCGGATCAACGCAGGAACCCTCATGGACGGAACAACATTCCTGATCGCCGCAGGTGGTTCAATAGAACCCAGCTCGGCTTGACGCACCCATGATGGAATTCGGATGGAGGGCCCATTGCCCGATGCAGAGGACCCTGTCTCGCATAGGACCCTTCCATCGCTTAATGTGAGCAATCATCATACGCTCTCATGTTCCTTTCATTGTCAGAGGGCCCCGACCAACGCAAGAGGCTCTCTGTTATACGCTGTCCCGTCCCCGTCCCTGCTCCTCAAATATTCACCTGACGGACTCGAACTCCTTGTTCACAAACGACGCTCTGTTAAGCGCTGGGAGTCACTGAATGATACAGGAGCCCCGACCAATGCAAAGCGTGGATCCGATCATGTCCCTGCTCGGGAAATGGGTCGCCAGAGCTCAACCAACACGGAGCCGACTGTTCGTTGTTGGTGATCTCTGGCCGAAATAGAGGAACACTCTGTCTCAGGTGTCGCAATCGGTGCAAGAGGTGCTCTAACTGACGTTAAGTATCGCAGCCCTATGGGCTGTATACGTATGGGCGGGGTTCTTAATGTGACCCTCAGCCAGCCCTTCGGTCCCTTCAGCCTTCCAATCAGGCGATTGATCGTTGTTCTCGAGAGACCCTCGACCCCGCTTCGGGTCCCCAAAACGCCGTTCCGACTCGCGGCTACCTGCCGCCACAAGACCTCTGTTAGGCGCTGTGGACCGACACAGGGCTCCTCATTGCGTCAGGGACCACACACATTGCAAATCGCAAGCCCCAGCCTCGTTCCTGCTTGGAAAATATGTCTCAAGGGCTCGAACGGACATCGAGCCGACTGTTTGGAGTTCGTGGTCTCCGGCAGACTTAGACATCCACATTGTCTCAGGGTTCCTCAAACGATACAAGAGGACCTCTGATTGATATTTTAGATCACGACCGAACCGGCCGCGAATTTGTATGCCACCGACAGCCAGTCCTTCGGGCCCATACGCCCTCCAACTGGGCCTTTTAACATCGGTTTCGTCGGGCCGCCCGGACCCCTCTCGGCGTTATCGAACATTTTCCTTGGCCGGTTCGGAGCCCCTACAAGCGCAGAAACCTCTGTTTGGCGCTGTGGACCCCTGAGAGAAATATGGGCCCCGACCAGTGTAAATCACTGGTCCCGGCTTCGTAGCTGATTGGGAAGGGCCCCTCAGACCCGAACCGATACAGAGCTGACTGTGCGGTGCTGGTGGTGCCTCACCGACATAGGCTCATATCGACTCAGGGGTCCCCGATCGGCGCAAAAGGCCCTGGCTGTTATCTGAGATTTCGTCGTCCCCGCATACCGGGACCTCTGAATAAGGCTCCGAC